GCAGGTCACCGGTTCACTTCTTTCGCAGAAATCGAAAATTGGCTCCTAACTTGAATCGCCTCAAAAGACGAGACATTTTTTTGAGATGGAATTCTGTTCATTCATTTTGTTCTGAAATAAATGCATTTTTGACCACAAAAAACGGACCGAACTAATTTGTACTCCCAATAAGTATAAGAGTAATAACAGTCAAAAGTAATAACAGAGCAATAAGTTGCTGTTGACTGCATGCAGAAATTTTACAGCAGGAGAATTCCCCATGAATATATGAATAACCCAATATAATGAAAAGATAGAAAAGTATTAGCGCAAGCGTTTACATCGCCATTTATTTAACCGTTTCGTCGACGAATACAGCTAAGGAGGCCCTAAAAACTATAATGGGAGTCTTTTCGGCTGCAAGATTAAATATTCCAACGTCCCTCACATATATTTTTTCAGACAACTAAGCGACGTGTATGTAACATTTTATCTGTCAGCGGCGTGCCAACGCGTGGGAGTCGATTTTTAGGATCTCTATAGTATTCGTCGGCGAAGGGATTAAATAAACGGCGACGTAAACGTAGGGAGTAACACCGCTGTATAGGAAAGTGATTTCGTAACGCATTTGCCACGGATTTCAATTAACATCCCCTAGGGTTGGTATTAACCGGCTAAAAATACTTCGATACAGAACGACGCAGCGATTACTCCAATTATAGAGGTTTCATCGCTGCAGGGTTAACGGTACTGAGACAAAAAAGCAGTTGGATCGACAAATTGGCGATCACCCGCCTTCAAAGCAATCGTAACTATCGGACGCGTTCATGCAACAATAGATTGCGTTGATAGCGTAGTTATTACCCAAATTATAGTCATTGGAATTGATATATATATATATATATATATATATATATATATATATATATATATATATATATATATATAGATCGACTCGATAAAACTAGGTTTCGTTCAATTCAAAGACACTTCTTCTTTCTTTACGTTGGTAAAAACACATCATCGCTGCACTGAAAGAAAAAAGTGATTGAATTAATGAGACTTTGCTTGAACGGATAAAACTTGTTCAAGCAAATATCCATTTTGGACGAATTATATAACTGCTGTGATCAATTATACATACAATTCATCATTAATTCTCATTAATTTAATCACTTTTATATATATTTTTTATATATATATATATATGTGGGTAAGATAAATATGTGGGTAAGATTTCCATTATGAAAAACGCTTCTCCCTTTAATATAATTTCATATTGTCTCTCTATAACAGCAAGAGTTTATATATAACAAAAAGGTGACGCGCACGAAGACTAGAGTGAAGAGTTAAAACGGAGCAACAGGTAGTGCCGTTCTTAATCCCCTCAATACCAACGCAAAAATCGATAACCTTGCATTAGTCGGATTCCATAGACGTAGGTGTCACGTTGAAAGGAAAATTTTACGTCCCATGCACAAGGACGAGTCTAATTTCTCTCGTTGAGCACGGATGGAGACAGGCAAGGACACTATTTTTAAGACGACGCGATGATGTGCCTGCGCGATTGCATGTGCTCGCGAAAGAGTCTAACATGTACTCGTTGTGTGTATTCATTTTTTCCAAATCGCTGGAGGAATCGTTGCACCTGAATGCACACGCACGCGTGCGATTGCGAGTGCAGGTCGTTTAGTGCAAGGCAGATTACGAGGACGTTAGAGAACGATTGTGGATTTCCCGTTGTCCTTTCTGAAAGTGGATCCTGAAAGTAGATCTTCAATGATTGCCCATCGCATTTAGACGTTTATTTAGATTTCTTGATTTTACTATTTTCCACAGAGTTTCTTTCATTGCTCCGATATTTAAGGAAATGTTACTCATTACACTCGCATGGTCGAGTACATCCCGACACGCCAAACGCGCCCCGAAGCTATATATTTTGTTGGCTTCGCGCTTAGCTGACATTTTTCCAAGAGCGCGAGCTTTTCAGGCGCTAAACGTCAAATTTAAGTAGGATAATTCATCGAAGTACTTGTCGGACTAAAGGATAAGCATGAGGAAAGCTTCGTCGAAGCCTTAGGTAGAGAATAAGCGAAACCCGCAGAAGTCGGGAAGAGTGCACGAAACCAGCTTATCGAGAAACAAACAGAAGAACGATAAGGTTCAAGTATGACAATCGGTCTCACGCTCATACCATGACGATGATTCAACAGGTGGCGATAAGTGACGATCGGAGCGAGGAAGCGTGCAAAATTTAAGTTCGCTCTACTGCGAGTGAAAGCGCGCGCGCGTATAGTCAGACGAGACTCGCAAATTTATTTGCGGTCAGAGAAGGTAGTCGATGTACACTAAGAATAAATATTTGAAAATTTGTTTGTGGAATATAAAGTTCGTTTCTGTTATGAAATCTATTTTTAGACTTTCTAGACTTTCCAAACTAGAGAATAAAATTTATTTCTGCGAGTAAATTTTATATCCCACAAGTAAATTTGCAAGTATTCTTTCTTCTTCAATACTTCGTTCAAGATAAGAATAATCTGGATTAATGATTAAATTAAATGATTTTATTATCAATGGTTTGATTATTTATAATAACTCAATTTTTTTATGATAATTCAAAGCACACACGGATACACAATTTTGGTATATATTAACGTAAAGTTTGATTTTGACGAACAAATCAACGTATTTTGGTTGAGAGATATAGATGAAGAATCTCTGTGATTGTGGTTCAAATTTGCTTCCAAAAAGCAGAAATTTCGTTTTCTTCAGCCAAAATACGTTCAATCATTACAACCAAACTTCATGTCAATACAACCAAATCTTTTTCTCCGTGCAACTTCCGTTGCACCTCCTTTTCGATAGATTTCTCATAGATTGCGATAATCTAATAAAATGAAAATCACGGGTGATTCGCGCGCACTCGTTCCCGATATTTGTGGATTGCAACCAACCTGGATTCTGGTCAAGTATAACGCTGACTGGCGTGTCATAGGAAGTGACCTTGACCGGCGCGTTCACCGTCTTCAGATCGACTTCCGTCTCGGTGGTAATCGTCAATACCGTCTTCAACTTTTTCTTCTTGTGCTCCTTGTCCTTTCTCTTACTGATTGGCTGCGGTAACGCCTCATTGCTGCATTGGTACATATAATATGGTCAGTATACTTGACACGCCAAGGCAATTAAGCCATTATGATATTTAATTCTATTCCGAACGAGTTAATTCAATGATAAACGGCAAGTCGTCCGATTGTTATCAGCATTGTTTGAAATTATCCTGTCCTGATCCGCAGTCTTGCAAATCTCATGGCACATGCAAGTCGAGAGTAGCCGCATGTGTCGCGCCATGTGACAAGCGAATATCAACGTGGAAACTGCGATAAGCGAGAACACGTTTGCAGACGTCTGTTTAAAAATAAACGCGAGGATAAATCGAAGGAGCGTGCGAATGTAACATTCCGGTATCCTTTCCGAGGGAAGATAACATTGCGCTCTTACATTGTGGTTAAGAGCCGATACCTTTCTCCCGGAAAAGTCACAAAAAAATCCCTGACATAACAAATCTGCGCGAAACGTGACACCGTGTCGTTACACAACAGCCGGGGAAAGTTTGTGTTCATCTAATCGCCACTCAGAGCTTTCACCGGAAGTCTCAACTGCGGGCTGTTTTCACGGCGCACAAAGTACGGATTGCATCACCAAACGTAGCAATAATCGTGACAATGTTAATAAATGATAATTATTATTTCAAGAGTTGTATTAATTTATAGCCATTACTTGAAACTTGGCAAGAATTTGAATTTTTTTCAGAGAATTTTTATTAAAAGTTAGTATTTTAAACTAAGTCGCGATTACAAATGTAATGTCGTATATACTATATTCAGAAAAATCTAGATTTAAAGCCCGTATTAATAGTCATCAATTGAAATTTGTCTCATGCGAGATACTCAAATTTTTATTCAGAATTTAATTCAGAATTAGTCGAATTATGATAACTGTGACACCTATATCTGTAATTGTGTATGAAACAATTGAAAAACTTTCGTCAAATTGTGAGTTCAAATCCGCGTGTCTGTTATTTGAGATGAATTTCAAGTAATATACTATTAATATAGGCCTAAATTCAGATCTAAGTATTTTATGTGAAACAAGTTTCAAATAATGACTACTGATATGCACTAAAGAGCATTCGTAGCATTTTACCAAAATAACAATTATTGAAATAATTGTAATATTGAAAGAACATTCGTCGCCTTTTATCATGACTCGACAAGCTTTTCAAAAAGAACGTATTCAATTTAATTGTCTTAAGAAATTCGCGTGACAATAAATCACGTAATGACGACTCAATTCTGATTGAGCCTTCTCGCATACATTTCTATCCATCACGTTTTTGCGTCATTGTTACATATCCATCGAGGTTGCGACGTAAAATAGCCGGCCGCGAGATTACACCCTCACGTAATCAGCCGCGCACTCGGTCGCTTTTTCTTATTGCACAGACGCAACCGGCAATTACCGGTTGCGGGAACCACGTCGTTTTGAACAATGCGAGACGCGAGTAGCCATTGCTCACAATGGAGGTTACTCGAGACCGCGAGAAACGAGATTATTTCAGCCGCAATGTCCGCCGACGCATTACTTCGAACGTTATCTAATCTATCCGGTTACGATTGTTTAACTAATTTAATACGGTGACGCAGGAAAGATCGTGATGAACATTTCAGTGCAAGCGATATATTTCTTCTGCTTGTATTGTATACTTTTAATTACGCGCGGACTTAAATTTATGTTTGAATGCGCATTTGCATTTCCGATGGTCTAAGAATGCGCGTCTCCCCGGCGCGAAAATAAACACGCGTGAAATAGCGATTAAAGGCGACTGCAACGTCTCTTTAACAACGCGATTGATCTAACCTACGTTTTTTCTAGCCGGCTAGTTTTTCTCATAAAGTTCCTCGCCGTGACAATAACGTCTAGCACAATTATTCGACGTAGTAATCGTCAACCTCACGTATTATAGCGATCTCGATATCGTCGTGAAAAGTTCATACGAAAATTAGGTCGCGATTGATTTCCTCTATTCGCTACGACGTGTTTCTCAAAACTTTCCTCGACGATTCAAAATCCATGCCAAAATTTACGTTGCTGAAATATTATCGTTAAAGTTTGAATTTCTCGAGTAAATTATTTTGTTGCTGTAAATCTGTAATATACTGAGATGCTGAAATTTAAAGGAGAGATTCTCTCTCTCTCTCTCTCTCTCTCTCTCTCTCTGTCCCCCTCTCCCTATCTCGGTCCCCCTCTCCCTCTCCCTCTTTCTCTCTCTCTCTCTCTCTCGTGATTGAGAACTGCTGTCCTTAACGCGTCATCGACTACGACGAATGGAAACCGTGACACGATTAACGTTACCGATGAAATAAGTTCACGGCGAGCTGGACGATCGAGTCGACGAATGCCTCGTTCGTTTTCGTGAAAATTTTAACAATTCCAAAAAGCACGCATCTCAAGAAAATATTTCCACTTAATGCTCGTAATTAATTCATAATCTATTCTGATGAAATAAGTATGTTAAGTTACGTTGCGAGCAATTATCATTAGAAACGAACTTGACCCAAGTCATCGTTTGCAGTTCTATCTCAGGCCTCATTGAATACTACGTGCATAATCGCAAAACAATATCAGTACCATTGTAACGGTTCACAATTAATCTGCCTTCTCGCAGAAGATAAATTTGGATCTGCAAGTTGCAATTTTGCAAAAGGATCAAAACTACGTTAGAACGCAAACGATGGATCATCGACTCGATGGATCATGATTTTCGAGATTGTTATTTGTTTATCATAATATGACGCTGCGCTTTCTTCCTCTCTCTCCTCTCTCCATTGTATGTATTATGCAACAATACGCGAGAGTGTCCGATGAATATCTAGGCAACTAGCAACGACACGAAGTCGCGGGCACGTGGCGCGACACGTGCGTCGGTGTCTACACGGCGCTGCTGTGTGCGTGCCGATGCCGGCCTTACACGTGTAACCGACTTCAACTATTTATTTTACACGTACGCAACACGGTGTTCACGTGTAGTGACACGAGCGTCTGGTAGTGTTCACGAGCGTCTGTATGATCGCAGTCACCTTCGTCGCGAGAGATCCGCGAACGGAATATTCGCACAGTTATTTATTTAATTGTGCCGCGTCGATGGAGATCCTCATTAAACTAACAACTCAACGTGAGGGGGAACAGCGTGGGGAACTGGACTCGCGTTTGTCGCGGGATATCGTGACGAGAACGTGAGGATTTATAGGGTGGAATAGATATATCCAGAATCGTGTTATGGGCTTGATTTTGTTAAATCAACCATATATTTTTTTCAAATAAATTTGTAACTTGGAAATTTTTAAAATTTTCAACGATATTTTACCTTAAGAAGAAAAGTGTTCAATAAAAATTTAATTAAACGACGAATCTTAAAATGAAAGGCATTTGAAAAACAAAAAGCATGAGAAAGAGAGCTTATAGGTAAAAAAAACTATAAAAAATAAACTATAGTCCACACTGAGAAAAAATATTTGAAAATTTATTTGTGGGATGTAAAGTTTATTTCTATAACATAGAGTTTATTTCCGTGTAATAAAATTTATTTTTCTGTGTGAAGAAAATAGATTTTATTTTTGTGAATATACTTCATATTCAACATATAAATTTTCAAATATCTTTCCCCCAATGCATTTTTTATTGTTTCATAAAATATAATTCATTATTAACAAGATTGAAAACAAATTTCTTTCCTCGTAATTCTTTCCCGACAACCTTCAACCGAGAACTATCTTTAAAATATAGAACGTAATGCGTCTGTATGATCGGTTTCTGCCACGAAACGGCGCCAAGGATTTAATAGCACATTTAAATTTCTAAAAAAATATAACTTGCTCTCCGGAAAATAAACGACCCAATTATCAAAATCTGATCACGCTATGGCGCAAACTCGCCCTCAAATTACGCGTGTGCGGAACTAATATAACACGATGACTTTGCAAGATAAACAGCCTGTAATTAGGATGAGCGCGCTTTGCGTAAAATTAAGTCGATCGTGAGGTGCTTGAAAGCAACGAGAATCCCTGCAGGTGTGGTGGATAATGATCTCAGACGGAGGAGAAGCCTGGAAAAGGCCGCCGCGCACGAATAAAAGATCGTCCTTTAATTAAATAACTCCTCCGCACATGGTGGTCTTTTTCGTCCCGTGGTTTTTCTCGTGCTTTCAACATCGCGTATCGATAATCGATCTTACGTCCCTCGCTTCCGTCTCTTCGAGCTCTCTCCGGGAAAGTTTCTCCGTCGGCCGAATACTCGCGACAATAATTCCCATTTCTGCGAATCATCCTCGAAATACATTCGATTATTCTCGACGTGGTCGGCTAAATCGCCGTCTCAACGTAATCATCGGAAATTCCGCGCGTGCAATGCCGTAAATAGCCGCGTCGTTAAATAACCCCCCCCGGTATCACGTTTGCACGGTCTGTTCGTCCGTTTAGTCGGTCCCACGCGTTACACGCGCGGCCGTTCGTTTTCACGAAGGACGAGTTAATTATTTAGTTCATTTAATTAAGCATTTACATTAATTTGGAGAACTGTGTAGTTTCATATAAAAGTAGGACATAGATTTCAGATCCCAACGCGATCTCTAATGCCATTATAGTTTCCAAATTGTACACGAGGGAAATATTATAGTGAAAATTACAACAAAATTTTTCAACCACAGAGGGAATTTGTGATTGGAATCGCTACATATTTGTTTAAAAATATTATGTACACGGAGAGAATTTTATAGTAAAAATTACTATAGAATTTTGCGTTACCGAGAAATAAATCGGCATTTTCTACAGTAATTCACTATTCCTTCATTTCATATATGCTGTTTATATTTTAGAAACTGAAATGCACTATTAAAACACTTGGTATGTTTCTAGCAAAATTTACTATGTTTCTTAGCAAATTTTATTGACAATCTACTCCTGTGTGTGTATGTATGTACTCTACTAAAAATATAATAAAATTGAAGAGAATTTATAGAAAGAAACTATTTATAATATTCCCTCCGTGCATGTTTTACTACAAAATCATTGTAATTATTTGCACGTTTTTTATATCATATAATAGATAGAGATCGTAAAATTTAGTATGGCTGGCTAATTTTTGCAAGGGGTGACTTACTTGGATTCGAAAGTCAAAGGGCGCCTTCCGTAATAACCGCTGCTTTCGGAGCGATTGCTGTTCCTCGAGATCGAGCTGCCGCTGCTGCAAATGACAATAGCGAGAATTAGAATTATTTCCGAATTTCCAAATATAAGTTTACATCGTACGCACACACACACATACATAATGATTGTTTATGATGGACGCGGGATGCCCGACGTAAAATCTCATAAACTACTGCGCGTCCGATCGCGCCCGAGTCCGACTTTGCCCGGACGTTTCCACTTGCGTAGTTATAATCGCGAATGGATTCCAAACCGAACATTTGCATCAAAAAAAGGTACTTCGGTAACGTGATCGACCACGTGCAGCTCAATAATCATCGGCGTTCTCTTCTGACTCTCCTGACTCTTCTCGCGACCTTCTAGATATCGATAGAGTGAATGAAATAATAAGAATGAGAGATGCAGAAGAATAAATAAATGCAAGAGAGAGACCGCGAGAGAAAGGCCGTTGGATCGAATTCGCGAGAGCCTCTGGAAACCCTCGAAACGTCGAAACGCACTCCAAACGGACAAGATTATTGCAATAAAAATTGTCTTAAGATTACATTTGCTTTTACAATGTTCTTTGCAAGACTGGACCATACTGACACCTATTGTGGTAGAAACAGTTAATTTGACGATCTACCGAATATATACTGATATAAAAAGCTTTCACGTATAATTGCAGTAATTTTGTAGAAAAATGTCAAATGTGCATAACATTGTTAAACCAATCTATAATAATGCAGGATCATAATTTCCGTATGGTTCAAAATTACAAAATTTTATTACAATATCTTTTCCGTACAAAGAGGTCGACTCGGCGCGTAACGCTCGCCAAATTCCCCGATGTTTCGCAACGTTCGTCGTAACGAGGCCAATTGAGACCGGCGCACAAGAATCGTGCCGATTCCTGCCGCCGATCACCGGATCCTTTCCGCCCTTTCCTCGATTCAGCCGAATGTGACGCCTTGCAATGCGTGGCGGTTGCAAAATCGCGGCAACATAGTGATCTCGGCAACGGCCTCGGCCTATCTAACGACGACGACGTGATCGTCGGGAAAACCAGGCGAGTCGAAAACGCGGCTAACAACTGGTCCCGGTCGGAAAAAAGGCCCGCGATCACATGTTCGGCAAACGTGACGGCCCTAACGCGCGGTCTCACGGGCCTTTCACTGTCCTCATTATTCGCCGATCAAATGATCGGTTGGTCGGTCGGTCGGTCGGTCGGTCGATCGGTTGGCCGCATTTATTGCCAGAGCCCCGTGCAGCTGGAAAAATTATTGCATAAGAAGGCGCACCGCTTCACGTTCGCGGCCCCGTGACTACCGCGAGGACGACGACGACGACGACAACAACGAAGGTGGTGGTGGTAGTGGCGGCAACGGCGGTGTCTATCGATTCCGTTCACCGGTTTACGCTCGAGACTTATCCGGGACGCGAGAAAATGGGGAACGGTGGTCCCTTCCCAGCCGGTGAGATATACGCGCCCTCGATTGTTATGTAAAAATTTATCCGACTCGTTTTAGCTGCTCGTTGAGCAGTTTGTCTCTCCCCCTCTTCCTCTCTTTCTCCTTTTCTCTCTAAATATCACGTGTTACGCGCAGTTTCACATCGCCGATTCGATTACGCGTACATTCGTTTACACGCGGAAAAAAATGTCAGTTTGGCTAGCTAAATGTGAACCAGACGAAAAACTCGCTGACAAGAAATTAAATCTGATCAGAAACATTCGTCTGAACATCCAGTTGCATTCAAACTCGGTTGAGAGTAATTGACGAGTAAAACCATCCTACAGGTATCTTTCTGTACTTACAACTGAATTTTTTCTTTGGTCCTCAAGTAACAGAAAGTTTAGTTTGTTTTTCCCGTGCGTGTTTCTTCAATATTCTTTATAAACTGTTATAAATTTTATATTCTAAAATAAAGAAAAGTTGCCAAAATGGTTAGGCAATTTTTCCGTGTTTTAGACGAAATCAAATGGAAAGATATTGCGAGCTTCTTGCCGCCGACAGAACATTTTTATCGAGTTTTACGATTGGCTCGTAGCACTGTTCGAGTCGAGTTCGAAAAGATTTGCGCTTTTACTTAAAATTAATCAAACTTTTGGATATGCATAGGAAAGAAAGTCTGAGTTCATGCAACTGAATAGAAAAAAATTTCATCTGATCCCCAAGTAACAGAAAATTTAGTTGTGCATATTAAAAATGTCTCGCGTTTCATGGCGAATTTTAAGATTGCTTTCTGCTCAATTTATACAAGGAACTCTTCGTATCAATCTGAGACGATTCCAGCCTCTGGCAGTTTTTACTAAGCCTCGGTGAACGTATAATTAAAGAACGCGAATATTGAAGGCCACACGCAATGACGCCCCATTCTTATAGCGCTGTAAACGCGCAAATAACGCGCATGTACGGAAATCAATTTCGCTGCGGCGAAATGTCACGTTACGGTATTATGTCCGTCACAATCAGCGCGACAGATTTGTTTATGGTGTGCGCACGTGCAGATTACCCCGTGCAATTACCCCGAAGGCTTGCCCGTTATCGACAACACCCACGTAACTACCCTCGCATTCATTCGCGACACCTTCACCGGGATTATAATCGTCCGTCAGCAGCGTGTCCAGACTGGAAATATAATCGCGACTTTAATAGCGGTTTATGTGTCAAGATGCGCTTGCACCGGAGTGTCGTTTAGCATATAACGACCGGCATAACATCGGGACCGAGCAACATCACGGGACGAGAGTTCATCGAATGTCAAATGATAAATATAGATAATCAAACGATTTCTTTTGCGATTGTAAATCAAAGTAAACGAAAAAAATGACCAATATGAGTTCCTTCGCATTGATCCGGTTGGTTTTGTCGCGTTTGTGAAATAAAATAGAAAAAGAAATTATCTAATTTCGAAGGAATAATAATATTCAGGAATAAAATGAAACAACATGGACTCGACAGTTTTTTTGGATATCTAACGGGGATTTTTTATTTTTCTTCTAATATCCAAGCTTCCTACGAGAATTTAGAAATGAAAAGATGATGACGCAAATCTTTTACATCGACTTAATATTAACGCGCGAATTTCGTTACACCAAGTCACTCAAATAGATTTCGAATGGCGAAAGCGCGCCATTTGACAGCAGCTTTCTTTTAAACCGTAAACGCGAGAATAAGCTTAATTTTTCTATTTTTCTGCTCTTCACGATATTTGAAACAAGTGAAATTTTTAACGTGACCGGAATGGCTTCGCCTATAAATTTGTCACGATGCAGTCGCGTTGCGCCGTCACGTGGCGCGGGGAGCGATTGCGAGTCGTCGATCAACGCCTCCTTTTCGTTCGACCTGTTTTCGCGGGGAAGGTTTCGCAACGCCACACCGTAGCCGCGTTAACTGAGGACGTGGAAATGCAACCAGCGCATACACCGCGCCGAGAAACTGGTTAGCCTTAACCGCGCTGTACGATTTTCCGTCTCTCTCTCTCGCGTTGCACTATTCGTTCTAGTCTATCGCCGTCACGCGGAACGGAAAGCATGTCAATGCCAAGTATCCCGAGGGCTACTTCGAGGCGATATTTACAATTGGATATTTTCAACCGTGAATCGACCGAACTATATCAATAAGATATAGAAAGAAAAATACTTTCAACTGGAATACTCCTGTAATCTTCATTAACTGCAACGAAAACTTCGATCACGTGGAATACTTATCCAGAGTAACATGTTTTGCGATAAATATTTAAATTTTCAACATAAAATATATGTACAAGTATTGAGTATGTAAACATATTCTATGTTGAAAGCTTAAATATTCGTATTTAAAGACCAAAACAATAAGAATGTCCAGGATTAGATACGTGTTCAGAAATTGATATCTTTACCTTAATACTCATGCAAAGAGTAGCGCATGTTCTGCAAATAAAAATGATGTTCTCCCCAAGATAAGATTTCGCGCAAATTTCTTTCGAGGTACCTGCTTTTTTATTTCGCTACGCAGTTGCTTTTCAATGTCAAGCCTCCTAAATGCAAAGTGTCGAGCCTTCCAACGTGCCTATTGATCATGTGTGCATGATGTGCACAAGGAATGGCAATGATCAGGACATTAGCAGCGCATATACAGGCCACGTAGAAGCCACACAATGTTAAACCGGTGTGATTCCAATTATATAAGTGTGGAACGGTTAACCCGCCGAGCAGCGGGTTACTTCAACGAATGTAGTATTAACTAATCGTTCCACGTGATCCCGCGATCGAACTCTGTACGAATAGCGCGGTGACTCTAATAATTAATATTTCTGCTTAATCCTTTCACTCCCATCTCGGGGGGAGTAAAAGAGGTCCAACCACTTGTCTCAGTGTAGCTGTGAAAATTCCACTCGTGAAAATGTATTTCGCAATGACATTGCGCGATATTTCACTCTATTGGACTTTAGAAAGCTAAATGCGTGCTGAAACTAAAAAGCGCGAAAGAGGAAGAGAGAGAGAGTTCAAATGCTCGGTGCAAATGTGTTTTCTCAACGACGCTTCACGCTTTACATGAAACTTGACTCGTCGATGAACAAATGAGAGAAAATGAATTTTTCAACTTGCAATTCAAAAGAAAAGCCGACGCAACATTTCATGTGAACACGAATTGTTGCTTTGATATTTGCATGTGAAGAAACAGTTACGCAAGAAACGCGACTCACGATATTGCGGGCACGCACAAAAAGAAATAGTGAACTGATTAATACTTGCGCTATTTTTATTCGTTGCGTCGCCTGCTATTTTTGCGGACACATTTACTTTTTGTTCGCCTGTACGTACAATGAAAACGTGAAAGTACTGTCTCTTGCACCTGTAACGTTCCGTCGTGTTTTTACATTAAAAAAAAATTTTGCTGGTCTAGGTAGAATTGTCACAGTTAGAATGTGTAGAATTTGCAGCGGCAGTATTCTAGCAATTTTTACAAGCAAATTTAGATGAATGTGTGAATCATACATTCATTTGTCGTTTTTTCGTCATTAGTCTTTTTGTCCATCATAGTAAAGTTTTATAGAAAGTGTAATTGGCTATAATTTGGATAGACGTCACAGAGAGATTTTCTTGTTAAATATCACGGATAGTTCAGACAGACAATTCTGTCTTTATCATCTGTATTGATTAAATACAAAACATATGCGATAGCGCAGTGTTCGCTGCCATTTATCTATTTTAGCTGATTTCTCGTATCTAGATAGTTCTCGCTATGACTGCAAGACTATTTTTGAGTGATACGTTCATGACGTTTATTCGCGCGACAATGACAACACAATAATTACAACAACATAATAACACATTTTGATCGTATTTGAATCGATCTCTCCCTTTCTCTATCGCAGTTTCTCCGCGAACATTTTACGTGACCGCATTATTTGTCGAAAGAAATATATATAAAACGCCACGGATGAATAAACGCGATTAATGCAAATTGGTCTCGTACAACCGACATAATAATGCGCTCTGTCAATATCCCAAAGTCGTGAATTAATTAAATCATTTAACTCTCACTCTCACTTGTTAATGACACGCCGGTTTTTTAACCTAAAACTGTGAATCACTAAACTCTCAGTATGGATTACTATCGAGAGAAGCGAAATTCGCGGGGTTCGCATTGTCAAGATCGAAAACCAAATCGCGTAAAACTGTCATTACATACGAGATATGTTCTTTTCGTGTAAATAATAAAAAAAAAAAACTAAAATTACCCTTAACACCTCACACCGACGTACGATTTCCCTCTGCTCGCGTTACCGCGTCCGGAAGCATTCAAAAATGGCCGGACGGGGTCGCATCATGGCGGACGTGCTCGCGGTCATTTTGAATTCGTTGGCGCGCAAATCTCAAACAGCACAAATATCTAAAATATATCTTAGAGACGTGAACCCATATTTTAAACTCTCTTTTATCGTTCAAAGAGCCTTAAAAAGTAGCTTATAAGCCTTCTGATTGGCCAGAAGTTATTTTTAGAGTTTTTCGTAATAAAAGCGAATCCCGAATATGGATCGTTCCAAAGACGTTTGAAACAAATAGAATATCCTTCAGATGTCTCTAAAACGTCTTTCAGACATTTGTGCTGTATAATTGATGCTCACCTGCGTTGCGACTGGCTGTTGCTGCAGGAGTACCCGGAGTCCGATATCTTGGCGTTCTGCACGCTCATCTCCTCCATTGTGCACTCTCTATCTGCTCGTGTTTTCTTCTCGAATCGACAGTTTCCTCGAAAACGTTTCCGGATATTATTTTCGTATTCTCTCTTTCTATTACTCTCAATTGTTCTCACGCGCGCATGCACACGCACTCGCGGTTAAGTTATGGCGCGCGATTCATTTTACTCCATTCGGGGTGTCTGATTGGGATTGGCAAAGAGGATAAACAAGGTGTTCACATTCGTGACAACGATAACGACGAGACACGTTGCTCGACGCTGACAGTTTCCACGCGGACTGAGCCCCGACAGCAGCCGCGATGATCGGCCTGCAATGAGTCACGGTGTGGGCCGCACGTTCTGAGACACGTGAGCGTAAAGCCGCTTCATCCCCACCGTCTCTGTCGTTGGTGGCCGCAACCTATATCGGGCCGAAGAGTGCTCCACTTCATTTCGCGAAATCGCAATCGGCGCGAACAAAGTGGAGTCGCGCGTTTCCGTCGCGCTGAATAACGCTGCTAACCCCGCTATGACTCTTCCTTCCCTTCGCACGTATCATCCCAAGTAGAACAATGTTATCTTAAAGTATTCCATTTTACTATATAAAATTAAGTCAGGATAACTTTATTTTCGGTACAAAAGTTAAGTTTCTGTTTACTGAAAAGATTATCCAAAAGATTATCGAAAGATAACTTTTAATATCCAAAAAGATATCATTTAGATATAAAAGTATCAAGTTGGTACATGGATACAAATTAAATATATACCAAATGATAACTATAAGATACATAAATGAACTAGCTATTAAGCAACTGTAAATTGTTATTTAATTGATATCACATTAAAGGAGACGAATTATTGACATTGACTTGTTATTTTATAGATACGTTTCAAAAGTTCAAAAAACTTCAAAAACGTTAACCAATAGGCAACCTGTTCTATTTGGGATGGAACTCTTCGGAATCGATTCCAATCAAAATAAATCCTAATTTTCCCTAGGAAAGATAACAGAAATCTAGGAAATAACGGAATCATTCCGAGGAGTTCCACGAATCTCTCGAGCAATCGATACAAAGATTTTTTTATTGCAGCGTAAAAAGTGACAAATACAAAAGAATTATCGTCACATTGTTGTATTATTTCTATGTCTTCTCGCAATTACTTTTTATTTTAATGTCTTGCGATAATAATTATACCAACAATACGAACTTTATGATTGATGATGTCAGAAACGAAGAAATGCATGTCCAAAATTTCTATAAAGTGTCGAAGTAAAAAAATATATCCGAAAGATGACATTTATAATCAATTAAATACACCTTTAAAATACTCCAAGCGTTTTTTGCTTCAACAATTAATAAATAACAATAAAAGTGACGTTATATGTAACCTTCCTTTTTCAAACTACATTTCCTCATTATTTCACATTAATTTTACGATTCTTTATTAATTAAGCCAAAAAAAGTTTTCACAGATAGCATAAAATCTTCAGATGTCCTGGGGACATCTGTTCTGGGGACATCATGTTCCCAGGACATCGTTCTCAGAAAGTTTTAGAATGCCTTATGGAGATCTATGCTGTTTGGAGATGTGCTTAATCGATTGTGTCATTTTGGGATATACCTTTTTATTTCTATGTATTTTGCAGAAATTTTTAGCACATATTGCCTCGCTTTAACGTTATAAATTAATGTGGCTATGGCGAATAGCCAGAAACTTTAAATACAAGAAATATACAAGGCACCCAAGGTTCTCGTTCACAAGAGCACGCACAAATGACACAACCGGAGCTGTATAAAAATATATTAATTTATATTCCGCATATATATATATATATATACATATATATATGTATAACGTATTTTCTTTTTATATATGTACAATTGTAAAAACATTATAATAATCTTACGTTGCTAGAAATGGTATCACAGTCATCAGGTACGGCGCTTCGTGGAATCCTCGCGATATCCTGAAAGCGAGAAGAACAAATGTCAGATCAAGACAGACCATGAGTTCAACCACGTGACAGTATTCGTACACTTTCGTTCCACAAGTAACAAGAATTAATTAAAACAAAAAATCAAGTGAAAGAGTCGGTGTGGGGTTTTTGCGTATTCCATGTGTATTTGATATTTCCAAAAAGAAAAAGAAAAACAAGTCAGTTACAGTCTCCTGGAACATTATTCGGTACGGTCATACAGTGAGAGTCTAACGCAACGGTGGTACAAAAGTGTCCATCATAAAATGTTCATGTTGTGCGTCGATCACTAGTGTGTGACGAGGTTGGTTTCGTGATGGTGGATAATTAAGTATCGATTTATCAGGAAAAATAGTTTTTTCCCTCTTTCTCTCTTTAGAGTAAACAGTAAATCTACGCTTCTAAGCGTAAAAAATGTTACACACGCTAGCGTAATTTCATTTGTACATACATCAATCATTTCCAAAACAAGATGTACCCGCATGCTTCACAAGTTATCGATGGTACACTCAATATTGCACTTCGTCGCGCGAGTGATGTAATTCTTTATAAAATTTAGCAACCGCGTATTAAAACCCGAGTGATATCATCAAATTGATTGATATAAATTTGTCGATGTGTTTTCAGTTGCTTTTGACAAAAATATCTTGTATGAAATAATGTATTTTGTATAATAATTATTAAATTTTTATTACCTTAAAATCTGAGTAATAGCATGTTGTGTTATAAATTACGATTCAAGAGTGTAAGTGTGTCACAATTTTTATCGTGAAACATTAATAAATCAAAATGTTTTGAATATAATGATATGGCTACAATAACGTATAATTTTTACCGAAAGAAGACGAAATATTCTGGTATGCGTTGCAACGATTCCGTATATAGTATATATTTGTACTGAATTCAAGGATATACCTTGTTTTGGAGTTATTAGTTCCTTTATCCGCAATAATTTTAACACTGTTCGTCGTGAGATTGGTCAATGTTGCATAAAATACAAGTTGCTTTGCTTTCTTTTTACACGCAATACAACTTAAAGACAAGTACATAATCATCAATTTAATTATATAAATAAAAGATCTCTTCGCTAAACCTAGGGCACAGGTTAATTCCTAAAATAAGCCTGTGCGAACAGACAGCGTTAGTGACATATTTGTTGTTGCTGATAATAATGAACACATCTAAAGAACTAAACTGTATGTCAAAAGTTCTGAAGATATATACTATCTAAAGAATGAAGCTAGAAATAATATTAAACAAGAAATATAAAATTGATTACTAATTGGCCAGAAGAAACGAAGATACTCCTTGAACGCATTCTTTGTATTCTTCTCTTTCTACTAGACAACTTTCAAAAAAAGAAAATAAGTATGTTTTTAGTAAGAAATAAGATTCACACATTTCCTAGAAGTACACTACGGCAAGCGAAGGCTCGAATATTAACTCTTCGCACAGGCTTCTTAAAGTAACGGAAACGGGGCATCGCGCGCGTGATGTGTCATGTGTGAACGAACGAATGTAAGAGGATGAAAGTAATGGTGATGGAGTAGTGGTAGTAGAGTGGTAGTAGAGTAGTAGTAGTAGTAGTAGTAATAGTAGTAGTAGTAGTAGTAGTAGTAGTAGTAGTAATAGTAGTAGTGGTAGTAATAGTAGCAGTAGAGTAGTGTAGTAGTAGCAGTAGTAGTAGTAGTAATGTAGTAGTAAGTAGTAGAGTAGCAGTTAAAGTTTCAGTAACGTTGAAGTTGCGAACGTAAGCGAACAGTTAAATAGGTAGGTAGTTGGAGTAGTTTCCCTGGATGCCAGGCCCTTCACGTGGTCAAGTGAGTCTTTAAATTCGTCTCTTTTTGTTGCGTGCGTCCGGCTTGTGTATACCAGTCAGTCTGTGAAGACAAATAGAAAAATTACATTTTCTCCTGCTGTTTCTCAAACCCCCAGACCCCCCACTCCCTGCCCCGAGGAGGTAGAGAGTGATAACGTCAGTAAAAACGTCAAGGTGTATTACTATTACAAAGAAAAAGCGTCTCTTTCCCTCTCTTTCTCTCTCGCTCTTCGTCGTGTCATCACGCTTAATGTCATCTACTTACGAGTTACATATATAAGAATGGTCTCTGACTCAATTCTCGTCTTCGTCCATTCTTAATCTCTTTCGGCGATCTTCACCAACGTTCCGCTCTTCCGCCTCCAATACTTTCAAACGCGAACCGCAGATTTCTTGCCCGTGTAACATCTACGATATATATTCCCAGTTTTAAAGCATCTACGTAATACGCTCGCTAGATACATTAGAATAAACAGCAAAGTGAGCCATACCTCAATAGCCTCGTTCGCGCTATCGATGGTAGCGTATTTGGCGTAACCACAATTTTTGCCAGGCAACATATATACATCGATGAGATTTCCAAACCTGCAGAACGCGTCCTTCATGGCGTATATGGGTGGTACCGGTGGGCCGCAAACGATGAAACATCTTTTGGCCACGTCGGCATCTATACTCGCCATCGGTTGCACTGGAGGTAGCTTCACGCACATTGTATGTTCTAAACCTGAAGTGAGATAGGCAATAAAGATTAGCATGTATACATAATACAAACTCTTTACTGGATGCTCGATACATATTAATGCATTAATTCACAGATGTGTTGACTGTTTCTAAAAAAACAGATAAAATGTGCTCTATGTTCCTTATCCCCAAGTTATAAACATTGATTCTCCTGATTTGTTATGTAAGATATCTGTAAACTAATATATCAACATTTCTTTCTCGATATCTTGTGCATTCGAAAAAAAGAAAGTTAAGATTACTCACTCGGTGCCGTTAATCCCGCGGCTTGAATCAACGATGTAGCTTGAGCAATCGTCTCTGCCAGGTGTGCCAAATCCGTTCTCGCGCTGGCGCTATTGCCGGTCGTAGAACTGCCTGGTTTCGATGTGCTCTTCGGCGGTGCGCTCGTCAAGTCGGGCTTGACGATCATCCGATGACCAGGCGGGTATTCGAAGCCGTGAAACTTCTCGCGTGCATAAGCAGCTGCACTCGGATTATTGTACACCACTACGGCCTGCCCTCGCGGTATCCGGTATCTCACGTCAGTCTTCAAGTGGCAGTAGTCCATTCCAGGTACTATGTCGAACAATTTCCAGAGTTGATCCTGATTCAAGGCTGGATGGGCAATTACCTGCAGACGGGTGTAGCCTTCCGAGTTGGGATAATTTGTGGCGATCTCCAGGCTGATACTGCTCTTGCCGAAGTTGGAGGACGCGTATGTGCTAGTGGAACCGTCATACGAGGTAGAAAGACCGTTATTATATTTGACGTCACCGTGATCGGGTTTCGGTTTCTTTGGCTCGGCAAAAACCGCTTTGTACTTCCGATCGCACTCCTCGAACGCTCTGGCGGCGCTAGACACCTTCTTGAACTTCACGTAGCCGAAGCCCTTAGACTCATTTGTACTACGATCCTTCACCACTGTGGCGTACTCGATAGCACCAAATTTGGAGAACTCCTGCTGCAGCTCGCTGTCGGACATTGTCTTCGGTAATACACAGAACAAACGGACCCACCTCTCCTCCTCGTTTGTCTCTCGCACCGAGCCTTGGTCTCGACTGCAAAATAATTGGTCGTTTAAAAAAATACTGATTTAAATGAAGTCAACTGAGAAGTCATAACTCAAACAGTATAAATGTCTAAAATATCTCTTAGAAACATCCTAAAGATATCTAAAATAAATAGGATATCCTTCAGATATTTCAAAAGTCTGTACCAATAGTCGTTACTTAAAACTTACTTTGGAATTCACAGATTTGAATATAAAATTAAATGTTGGGCCTAGTTAAATGGCACGCAAATATGTGGATGCTTGGTTAAACATGATGTGAATTTGGAATGATTTTGATATATTGAATTAAATTAAGGGAAATTATGTAGGGATGAGTATGTAAATAGCATGTAAATGAAGGCGAAATATGGTGTTATGTAGGAAGGCATTTGAGGCAAAAATTCGAGGCAGAAAGATGCATAGATGATTGAGATCATGGTGTCGTAAGGAACAGATAGTTAATGTAAGTAAGAAAGATGAGCGAAAATTGGTACAGTAATGTAGAGGGAATTATCGATAGAGGAAATATATAATAGGTGAAAGTAAAAAGAATAAAATATAAAGAATAAGAGGAAAGATATGAAAAACTTCTTAGCAATTCCTAAAATGAAAGTAAGGAATGAATGAATAAAAGGAATGAATGAAGTAAGGAATGAGTATGTATGACTAAAGAATATAAATATAAACTAGGTCTCTTTCATTGGCTATGTAAGCTGAAGGAAAATAAATATCTATATAAAGTTAAATATGAATTTTTCAGCTGTGTTTAAATCATGATTACAAATATAATGTCATATATATCATATGATTTGATCGAAAGCTTAAATCAAACTCTAAATTTAGATTAGAGCATTTCACATGAAGCAAGTTTTGAATAATAATTATTAATATGGACCTTAGATATCTTTTAGAAATCTATGTTGTGTAGGAAGGCCTGTCCTTTTTAGCTGAACTAGTAGGTTTGTTTTTTTAGTTGAATCAGGCGGTATACTTGTTTTACTTTAAAGGCAAGAGATATCTTTCAGAAATCCAGTTCAACTAAAAAGAACATATTTACTGACATATTGGAACATTCCTTTTGCCTTCAACACTAGGATGTATATTTGTTGCATTCTAAAGGTAAAAATGCAACTTGATTCCACTAAAAAGAACAGATAGTTTCTAGTATGGATTGTCATATAGAAAAGAAATAGTAAATAATCCTAGATACATGTAGATTATACAGTGGAGGATATTGACTATATGGTTTTTATTCAAATATGAAAATTTAAGAATAGTAAAACAATATAAAATATAAAAATTTAAAAACAGAGTTGTACCGTCATTCAAATAGAAATAAGGTTAGCTGTTTTATGTTTATAAATGAATAGCAAAATATTTAAAAGTTCTTAAAATTATGCACAATTTTATTCTCTGAACTGGAAAAATCTTAAACATTAAGAAAAAAATTGATACTTTAGGAGAAAAGGCAGTGTATCAAATAGCAAAATATCGGTCTATAGACCTGAGACACATCAGGAAGTCGGGAAAAGAAAAACAGATCCATTAGCTAAATAAAAAATGACAGTGACTTACTTCGAGGCAATCATTACTTTGATCGGCCTACCAACGGAGCCCAGCATCTTCCCATTCATCTCTTCGAGAGCGAACGCTGCCTCTGACGTTTTGGAAAACTTGATGTATGTAACACCTGAACACGAAAATAATCAATTAAAAAGAGCTATCATACTGACATATACGCGGCATGAGGAACACGCGAAAGGAGAGATACATTTCCCGGATAAAAATAAAAATCGTGCAACAGAGTGCTAACGAGCGGTACTTATCGATTAGAATTAACCATGCGAAGGTGTATCACCTTTATTCTCGCCCGTGTTACGGTCCTTAACCACCCAGATGTCTTCGATCTTGCCAAACTTCTCGAAGGCCTTCCTGAGATCGTCCTCCTCCAGACTTTTGTGGCAGATGACGAACAGTCGCGAGTTCGGTGGATCGTCATTTTTCGAGCGTAGATCTGTTTGCGAATAGTACGAATCCCGTTCTCTGTGATCAGCCATTTTGCAAATGAACGCACCGCCGCGAGGCGCGTCGTCTATGGTCACCGGTCGACCGACGAATCCCAGGACCGTAAAAACTCGGGTGCCTGCCAATGTCCCTCTCCCTGCTACTTCCTGCAATCTTCATGTGAGATCTATTCTTTCATCTTTTACAATATTACACTACTCTAAAAATGAAATAAATATATATACTCAGAACTCTTAGAATAGGACAGAGGGGAGAGAAAAATGTTGTAAAGAAGCTTAAGGAAAATGCGATCAAAAAGAACATATTATCCCAACCACAGCATAAATTTTAATTTTTTAACACGGTTGTTGCTTATCTATGAATTATCAATAGTTGAAACATTAAAGAGAAAATTATGCATACTTGCGTAAGTTTCTAGACTTACACAATAAGTACGCGCAGCGTTGATTTTTCATCGAGATGTGCTCTTTACTCTTTTAGCGGAAAGCGATATTTAATAAAATTCAAGGCCGCCTAGCGTTCCTTAAAAATATGCTACGAAAGTATTTTGAATATATTTGTAACACGTTAATATTCATCGAGTTGTGTCGAGCGCAAGACGTCAGAACTTTACTGATACTTGGATGCACTTAAGCGAGAGCGCGGCCAAACAATTCACATTCCAAACAATGTTTGGAAAGCATGCGCGTGAATTTCGAAATCGCGAAATTACGGGAAGACTGAATCGCTGGTTGACAACGATTACTTCCGAGTCCGTTTCGCAAGTGTAGAACTTGGGCGTGCGATTGAAAGTATTATGCTCCAATATTTTCGCGTTCGCCGGAGAAAGAGAAATGCGGTAATGATGGCTTTACCGCTGCAACCGGCGACGACGGCGTTTCACTAATTCGACCGCTCATATTTTCACTTTCTTCCATGACTTCCTACTTCTTTTTATTCGACTTCTGCTTGAATTCGACGTAACCAGCAGTGGAATCACGTATGCATTCAATTTTCATGATGGTGTGTCTGTGTGAGAGATATGATATTAATTCGTGAATAACCTTCGTTTACCAGGCGAATCGTTTTCATCGCACGCCTACGTTGAATTTCATAGTCACTACGCAACCGTCTCGTGCAAGTTGTTATGTAACTCCTCCGCTTCTAAACTACTCGCGAGAAAGTCCCGAATCAGTGTTTCCTAAAATATACACCTGCAACCTGCATGGAACGTAACGCAGAGCGCGTGTGCGGAAGTAGCCGCCGAAACGGACACCGTAGTTCGTGATATGAGAGAATTTCACACAGGGAATCCTCTCAAGAAAAATACTTTGCGGTTCAATCTTAAATACTTCTATTTCTGTAGATAAACTTTCTCTCATATACATTTTGTTAACAGTTCATATTTTTAAAATATATTTTTCAAAATACTTTTAAAAAATATATATTACAGTCACAATTTCATTAAAAATATCTTTGGAATGTTACAAGCATATATTCGTCAAAAGAGAGCGTGAACAAGACTCAATATTAGAATAGATTTCTAATATTTTTTACCTTTCAGTATAGAACGCATATCGAGTTGTATTATAGCTATGTAACTATCGAACTGTGTTCATAATATTTCCCTATAACCGTTTACAGTGGTTAAGATAATTGACACAACGAAGTTGAAAACTCACCAAATCGTCAGAATTGAGAATTATTACTAGTGTGTGTGTGCGATGAGCTTGTAATAATATTATTAATTATTACTGATATTATTATTATTTAGTCCTTAATTATATAATTATTATTGTCATTCTATTACATAAATCCGTCGGTAATGACTCTCAATTTTGACAGTTTGTTGAGTTCCCGACTACAATATGTTTAAACCCATGTTTTGCAACCCACTGTACATTTTTGGCGATCACTATCACCAAAGTTCATCGTGCTCATGCATCGTACGTAGAAGCCGATACATTGCCGCCATGTCCGGTCCAATTCGTGTGAACGAACTTCCCCTCTTGACCGAGTAGCTCGTAAGTATGTGCGCCGAAGTAATCTCGCTGAGCTTGCAGTAAATTCGCCGGTAATCGAGCCGTTCTGAATCCGTCGTAGAAAGCCAGAGCCGTCGACAGAGCGGGAGTCGGTATGCCCAGTGTCACCGCCGTGGATACCACCACTCTCGCGCTCTGGTGGCACTCCTTCATAGCCTTGGCAAAGAAGTCGTCCAATAATAGGTTGGATAATTTTGGATTTTTGTCGAAAGCCGCTTTAATATTTCCCAAGAACGCGCTGTGAATAAAAATATCTCTGTAATGTCATTATTTTTCGAAATTCCTATATTTTAATATAATTTTAAAATTGATATTAAACCAACTAACACTTAATTCTCAACACTACTTATGTACTTAAATGGAGGACGTTATTCTGCGACGAAAGCAAACGGCGTTCTAAAGAAAAAATAAAAAAAAAAAGAAGATTTATAAGGCTTCATGACATTAGATATAAAATATCCTTGAGACATTCTCCAGCCTTGACACTCGTTTCTTTGCCGTTCGCTTCAAAAGGAAATGTAGGTCGTATTGAGTGCGAGAACAATATCACGCAATATGGCTAAATGAGGTTTAAAGTTATACAAAATTTGAGCATCGATTGCGTTACCTTCTTATAATGCATCCACCCCGCCACATCAGTGCTATCGAGCCGTAATTCAAGTTCCACTTGTAAAGTTTGGCGGTCTCCTTCAGCAACATAAAGCCCTGTGCATACGAGATGATTTTCGCGGCGTACAAAGCGTTCTTTAAGTGATTCAGGAACTGTTTCTTGTCGCCCTTGAACGTCTCATCCGGGCCGGCTAATACCGTGCTTGCTTCCTCGCGTTCACTTTTCAATGTCGACAGATATCTGGAGAACACAGATTCGCCAATCAGAGTGACCGGCATTCCGTAGTCCAGTGCGGCGATGGCCGTCCACTTGCCCGTGCCCTTCTGACCCGCTGTATCCCTAATGCGTTCCAGCAGATGACCGTTCTCGTCTTTGTACTTCAATATGTTTCTCGTGATCTCGATCAGGAAGGAATCCAGCTTGCCTTTATTCCAATCATCAAACACAGCGCTCATCTCGTCCTGTGAAAGTTGTAGGCCGTTCCTCATTAGGTGATACGCTTCGCAGATAATCTGCATATCGCCGTACTCAATGCCGTTGTGCACCATCTTGACGAAGTGTCCTGCGCCGTACTCTCCGACCCAATCGCAGCAGGGCTCTCCGTTGGATTTCGCGCATATCGACTGAAAAGTATCACAATAATGTAGCAGACTGTCTCGTGAATTTTTAATACTATAAATAAATAACTATAGACTATAGCATTGCGTACTTGAAAAATAGGTTTAATATGTGGCCAGGCTTTAGGATTACCACCAGGCATCAGGGATGGTCCATATCTAGCACCATCCTCTCCACCGCTGACTCCGCTGCCCACAAAAAGAATTCCTTTTTTCTCAAGATCTCTGGCGCGTCTTTCGCTGTCTTGATAAGCTGAGTTACCACCATCAATAATAATGTCTCCAGGAGAGAGAATAGGCACTAGGTGTTTAATAAATTCATCCACAGCATCACCAGCTACATTACATAATGAAAAAATTGCATTATCATGATATTTAATACTCTGCATAATTGTATATTTTTTATTGCAGTAATGAAGATATCACCTTTAATTAATAACATTACTCTTCTTGGACTCTTCAGTTTACTGACCATATCTTCAAGACTACTCGCACCAATAATTCTTGTACCCTTGGCTTCGTTTTCCAAGAAAGATTTAATTTTGTCTTTTGTACGATTGTATACACATACAACAAATCCATGATCGTTCATGTTTAAAATCAAATTTTGCCCCATAACTGCCAAACCAATAAGGGCAATGTCTGCTACCCTAAGAAATAATAAAAATATGTTAATTCAATAAAAAAATTAAAATTCAATAAAAAAAAGAAAAAATGCTTCATTTTTTCATTCATTGCTTATTTCTCATATTCAAGTAAAGATTGAGAGATTTTAGTATAGTAAAGGTATAACATTTAACATAATAAAAAGAATATTAATGTATCAGAGTTTAATATTTCCCTGTTATGTCTCTGATTTTGACGCATTTTTGACATTAATAAAAAACTGTTCATATTTCATCTACACTTTCTGCACTTTGTCGTTTCTCTTTCGCCCGTTCTCAAACTTGAATATAAACTGATGACTTTAAATGATCTTAAAAAGCAGCTGAACAGAGATATATCGCGTTTACTACAAAAAGTACTTACGGAGTGCTCATATTTGTAGACTGCCAGTTGACGTACACTAGGACAAGTCGCAATTAAAATGTATATAAATTATTCTGGAAATATACTATAAGGAATCCACAGCAGCAACAAGTAGTCGCACTTTCGTCAGCCAAAGAATATATGATCCGTTGTTTCTTGATACACGTGTCATATATAAAAAAAAATATAAATGAAGCCTTTCTGTTCGTTTCAACCAATGTCAATTAAACTTCTGAATTTAAAATTGTGTCTGGGAAGAATTTATCTCTCTCCAAACTCAAATTAAGATTTAATTGACGTTGACAGATATGATCAGTAAGAAAAATTTTGATATCAGTAAAATACTAAAGCAAAGATATCTTCGATCAATTTCGTTTGCACGATGCTACTTTATGTAATCTCTGAAAAACGTATGCGTATTCTCACTTTCTTTACTGTGATATAAGTACTTCTGGGAAGTATCGACGAAAGAATCCGTTTCTACATATTTCTTTAATCGATGACTTCACGAGACGTCAGCTGATACGATGCAGACCAATCAGCAGCCACGTGAATCAGCAGTTCAACATGCCACTTTCATGCCACGCTTTGGCGTGGTGCGGCGAGACGTAGGGGCACAGCGATATAAACACAGGCAGTGGTGCGTTATTTTTCCAATCGCCGCGTGCTATATTACTGAGTCGCGCTATAATTCGAGCGCTCCTTCTCCCATTTAGCGGACGCTTTTTCTTAATCTTTCGTAATTAATTTCTCGATTATTATTGCGAATATCGCGCAAAACGATATGGGACTCTGTCTTCATCTCGACCCGTTCTGCGTTCTCACGAGAGCTTCATAGATTGTTCTGGGACACCCTGTATATCATGGTACTTGTATACCTTTGCTATAGCAGGGAATGAAGTTGTTAGTTAACATTGTCAGTTTAAAACAGAGTGAGAAAGTTGAATTGCCCCTTGCGCTTTCTCACTCCATCCTGTCACGAGTAAAGGCTGGTTTATGATAGCCGTAATCCGTTAACCGTAAAAAATCGTAAAAAATTGACCAATCATAGTCGAATTATAGAAGAATAATCGATTGCGATTGGTCAATTTCTTATGGTTTCGGCATAGCAACATCATATTTTACATTTGAAAGTAGAAAGTTTTGAAGTGTTTTTATATCTTCTTTGTATTTAATTTATATATGTAATTCGTTAAATAAATACTGCGTCCGATGTCCAACGTCCGATATCCAATAAAAGAATAGCTTTTCAATGGAGAATTGAATTCTTTATTAGAAAGCTATTCTCCTATTGGATATCGGACTTCATACGTCGGACATCGGACGCAGAGTGAATCCCCCATTACTCCATATATTGATCAAACCTTAGACCGGTTATTTCTCTTATAACGTGTTCGACTGGCCCTGGGTTAATCGCTCCGAGAGCGATGCGACGTTGATTGCTCCGATATCGCTCCGAGAGCGATTAATGACGTCATAAGTATCTACTAGCCAATCATAAAGTTTATAAGTACTTGTTCGACCAATAAACGTAGGCTGAATAACCCAAAGTGGGTTAACCCAGAGCCAATCGAACATGCTAATAGGTCATAAATAATAAGACCCGTTATTTTTGTAAAATTGAGTGTATTTAGCAGATTCAACAGTTGCACAACAATTGAGTAATTCTTCAGTGTAATTGGTCTAGATTTAGGGATCTAATAGTAAGAACCAATAATCGCTGATTGTTTACTGAGCCCATTGGGCGTTTTAGCGGAAAAAGCGCTCAGTGAGCAATCAGTGATTATTAATTCTTATGGAGAATTCATACCGCGTCCGATATCCTACGTACAATGTCCGATATCCAATAGCAGAACAGCTTTCCAATGGAGAATTAAATTCTCTATTAGAAAACTATTCTCTTATTGGATGTCGTACGTCGGACATCGGACTCTATGTGCATTATTATTAGATCCCTAAATTTAGACCAATTACATTGACGAATTGCTTAACTGTTGTGTAACTGTTAAGTTCGCTGAATGTACCCATTAGTTCCGAAGTCTCCGCTACGAGCTACCATACACATCGACTAATCGAGATACTAATGAATTTTTAAAATAATGATAAAACAATTGAGTTAGTGATATTCAACAGTAGTTTAGATGCACTTTTCCCTTATATTAAAACAGATAGAATTCAACAGGCAATGATATACATATAAAGTATAAAAATATTTCCAAACTTTCTATTTTCAAATGTGAAGATCGTTGTTATGACAGGTGTAGCGGTTGCTATTTTCTTGACAGGCTACAGGAAGAAGTAAGAAAATACAAGGGGCAATGGCGTTTTCTTCACTTTTAAGTTCACTTTTAACGATAAATGAGCCTTTAAAAGAAGCTTAGAAGCAACCTGATTGGCTGAAAAGCTACATTTAAGGCATTTTTATCGATAAAAGAGAATTTAGAATATGGGACAATATATTCGCCGTTTTTCCCGCTTCACATTTGTGCCGTTTGAATCGGCTGATAACGCGCTCGAATCGAGCGCGACGTCAGCGCCGTCAACGGCGAAAGACTGAACATCGGTAGTGCTGAGCGCAGCGCCGCGCTCGGGACATTCGGATGTTCGTCAATTGTGCATGCAACATGTCGCGCCTCGCTTTATCGGATTAGGCGAAGGCTATTCGCATTCTCGCGACATTTCTCTGGTGACCGCGCACTACGACGATCGTACGATAACGAATCAGCATCTGCTCGTGCTCCAGTGTAACCATGAGGACGATTCGCGTGTCAACGTCGCATCTATCCCGACGGTCCGTAGTCCAGGAAGCGAACATAACCCCGAGACAATGAACCGCCCTGTTTTCGAGGTATCTTACTAATCGCGAGTGAGACGGCGGACAGGTGACATTGAACGGATATTCGGCTGAGCCCGCGCCAAGCACAACATGGGGCTATTGTTCGCGAAACTATGGAGCTTCTTCGGCAACGAAGGTAATTTTTGCACGATAAACCATTCTCTCGAAATCGTCACTCGTCCTTTCTTCACTGACTCTCTTGCTCGCTTACTCTCACTTGCTCTGTCACTCTCTCTCTTTCTCTCCTTTTCGCATGATATGCGAAAGTATGCGTGCCACACACGTGTGGGGAAATCACAAAGGACTCTTGAACATCAATCACTCGGGATGCCAGATGTGGCAATTTAATTATAAAGTGACCGAGTGGATGAAATGTCGTATTGACATTAAATCGACGCTGAACTCGCTGTGCATTCTAAAAATATTCCAATCACACGACCTCTCGATGCAATATTTCGCGAAGTTTATTCAAGTATTATTTTATAAACGTACTTGGAATCGCCTGTCTTGCAAAATTGCGTGGGTTGATAATTAGATGATAAGTGTGCCCATCAGAAATTATGCATAAATGTAGATTGGCCTACTTTCTAGTCTATTAACATATGTTGCCTTTTGACCCCATGAGATCCAGCAGTATGTTTATTATACTTTCACTTCCTATGGTAAGCTACATATACCCTCATTATTACTTTAATAAACATTATGATGTTATTATAACTTTTACTTTTGAAAACATTCTAGAAGAATCTTTTTGTATCTTCTTTAATTTACCAAATCTTTTCTAAAATTTACCAAAATAAAATTATGAGATGTACATATTGATACTTGACAATTCCTTTATAAATACACTTTTACAACAATAAATAGAATATTTAGAATTATAATGATTTTTCAATAAAATTTGATTATTTTCAGAACATAAAATAGTAATGGTTGGTCTGGACAACGCAGGAAAAACTACAATATTGTACCAGTTTCTAATGAATGAGGTTGTTCATACTTCCCCAACCATTGGCTCCAATGTGGAAGAAGTGGTGTGGAAGAACATTCACTTTATAATGTGGGATCTGGGTGGCCAACAAAGTTTAAGAGCTGCCTGGTCCACTTACTATACGAATACCGAGTTTATCATTATGGTCATAGATAGTACCGACCGAGAGAGGCTCGGTGTCATTAGGGAAGAATTGTACTCTATGTTAAACCACGAGGAGTTAAGCAAGGCTAATGTTCTGGTCTATGCTAACAAACAGGATTTAAAAGGCAGCATGACTGCAGCAGAGATCTCCAGACAGTTAGACTTGACGTCCATCAAGAAGCATCAGTGGCACATACAGAGCTGTTGTGCACTTACTGGGGAGGGGTAAGAGTGATAATGAATCATGTGTGTAATTACAAACATATTTGAGAACAAAAGATCAATAGAATTATGTTTCAGGCTGTACCAAGGACTAGAGTGGATTGTGGGGCGCTTGAAAAAGACATGACGTACATTATGAGAGTCGTTCGTAAGAGTTTAACGAAAAATATCCAAAATGTAAAATATATTATTGAAGATTAATTAGTTCGAGCCACTTTGACGGTTATGCGAAAATGAAAAGCGGTATGGACGCTGTCGCGACATTTCGTTAGTCATTATTTTGGTCTCCCGTGTAACTCTCAAAGTGCATATCCGGTCACGCCGTTGAAACCACCGCGACCAAACACTTCACAGTGGACGGGCGAAATCGTTCTTCGGTTACTAACTATGCGAGACGAACACGACTGCTTGCACGATGTAAATAGAAAAAAAAAACAATAGTAATTTAAGGAATGATTGGATTGTTCCGATCGAAAGCCTTTCCGAATAATTTTATAATACTTGTCCAAAAAAGAATAAAAATAAGTGTCAATAGAAAAATACGATGAGATATCGTAGACGCGTGTGCTAAGAAGATTAAGCTAGAATCATACGATGTATGGTTTCATGCGTTCCGACATGCACGCTGACGGCAGCCCAGTTCACAGCGTAGATCTTTCAATACACGATAGCGATTCATGCAGTGAACCGAACTGTCGATTAGCACACATTGTAAGAAGACATGAAATCGTGCATTGTGTGATTCTAGCTTAATGATTTTTCGCGCGTGACTAATGTACGCAAAACACACGTTTGGTTTTGTTGTTATAATTAATTGCTCACAAAGTCCGGAACGTGGTTCTTAATCTACAATTCGTTAGCTTCCGCAAAGAGAACGTCACAGATTGCTTACGCAACAGTATCCGAGGAAAGTTTTCTGCATCCCGTCCACCTGCGCTCTGCAGTAACCAAGCAGTGGAAATAGGAAGCGAAGACGGCGGAACTAGTTATTTGTACTCATTTGGTGTGAGAGCGAGCGGAACTGTTGCGCAACAACCGAGAAGTGCACCTGTGTACATAGTTTTTATACTTCGCGTTAAGAGAGTGAGTTCTGTAAGAAGGAAGGAAAAGCAACGGATTAGAGAGCATCGATTTCACCGACAGATTTTCAACACGTTCCCGTACGTAAAAGGGTTCCTCGCTCCCCCCCTTCCACGAGTAGGATTTACGGCAAACTGGACCTGATCGACCGATTGATACAACTTCGAGGAACTTCTCAAGGCAGAACTGTGAACTGCTCTGTGATATGTGAATTCAATTCTGAGACAGTTTGCAGCTAATGACTCGCGTGGTACATACTTGATTAATATTGCGATGCGCGACGAAAAAGAAAAAAAAATCGGTAGAACAATAGGTGGCTGACAAAGCACAGCGGAGAGCCAATAGTATAATACGCTATGTGATTCGCGCTGTATGTCGTGACAGAAATGTGAATGACAGAAGAGCTTGGAATTAACAACACGCTCGCAAATTTACGCTTGCTCATCTTGTGGCATTCCATTCCACTTCGAGTGTCCAAAAGTCCAGAACGATTAGATCTTACTGCTGTTAATACACAATTGATATAATTTAATATAACATTAATATATTACAATTATATTTTAATTTTGTAATCGTACAAGCGTACTAGCCAAATGCGAGATTTGTTCCTCGATCTCATTTGTACTCACGATTACCGCAACAAAAACTGCTAATGAACGTACGCGAATTCTAACGTAATATCGAAATTCTTCTCCTTAATCAACAGCTATCTTATTTTTCTTTTTATTTAAGTATCTAAGTTATCGTGAGTGTAACGTGTTTAACTTTTATGCAGCGTGAAATACTCTAGTAGGTAATATTAAATATTGTAGTTAAAAAAGGGAAAAAAAGTGAATTATCAACGCTAACTACCGGTTAACGGGTATACGCGAGATTTATTATATAGAAATTGTTAAACATCACCGCGCGCGCGAAGGATAAATGCCGTCTAATGTCAGAGTGAGATAAAACTTAGATAAAAGAATTGATGCTAGCTTTCTCATATTGAGAAACGGTTTCTTAAATGTTGACGTAAGAATGTGTATCGTATATATTGTTCTATTCCTTGAAATTCTACGCGGGATATATCGAATTTTCGCTCGACGAATTTTTATCTTCGACCATGTTCTCCCTACCCTCGCCCCGCCTCCTACCTTCCCCCTATTTAACGTGATTGTGTAAAAATTTCTCGAATGTAAAGTACAAGACATAGGTTGTTTTAACGTCGATGTTAGCAGAGTGCGGGAGTGCGCGGATAAAAATATGATCGTGCTCGTTGACGAACTCTTTACACGGTCCGATCTGCCAGAATGACGATTTAATATGGTTAATTAATGAAACTCATTTTCGATTCATCGATCTTTAACTATAATATATTGTATAAGTCAGGGAATTCTTTCCTGTACACAACTTTATTAAAAATAATAACGGAGACTCTAAAAAATATGCGATGTAAAATAAATTAAAAAGAGTTTCTATCGGTACGAAGTGCACGAGTCTGTTGCATCTTTTTCTTAATCATGTATTCCCTTTCTTTTTCCAAGTTCTTGCATTTTTAAAAGAAATATCACAATAGTTTGTCCTTTCCAGATTCGGTTAAATGTATTTAAATCACACGGGTAAAATTGATAGAGTACACGCACACACACACACACACACACACACATATATATATATATATATATATATATATATATATATATATACATACATATAAAATAGATTACTTTTAAAATTTTATTAAATTTTATTTCAAGAAAAAAAAGAATGCTTCATGCATCTTGTAGTCGGCATTTTCGATACGAAGAAATTATACATATTTTTAAAATTACCTCTTTTAACATACGTCGAACGATTTATATTTATAGTTGGATTTATACTTGATTTTTTACTAAATGCTTAAGGCAATATCACACGTGACATGAAGAAGAAACGTTCGAATTGATTATTCGTAGTCAATTATATCGTATTGTCCATTTATTTTCATGTTCGTTATAAATAAAGTACTCATATATAAAATATTATAATAATATTATCCGATCGTACATTTCCATTCATTCTTTGAACAATAAATCCATCAGTATGTTCGTGATTTTCCCTTTTACGTGAACTATACGCGACTTACAACAGTGCGATCGAATATTATTATATAATATTTTATATATTTATACTATAAATATTTAAAAAATACTATAATATAATAATATTATAATATTTTATTTTTATGTTATAAATATTTGAAAAAAATATGATATAATATTCGACATTTAATAAGACTAAAAGAACGTGCTTGCTAATAGGACATATTCTCCTTCTGCATCATCATTCTTAAATATTTCCCTACTTTGTTTTCTTTTTTCTAAGAGCAATTGCAATGGACTTCCTGAGGGAGACGTTAAGTTATCGATAGGGAGATCTATATCTGTGCTAATAAACACCGCATATACGCATTTTGACGCCGGTGCACTAACTTTATATTTCCTTGAAATCTATTCACAGATTTCTCAGCATACTTCATGGTTCCATTATGAAATTCAAAAATTTTTAAACAAATTTGAATCCTAATTTAAAAAAAAACAAAATATATGATAACATTTTTGGGCAGTGCGTTTTTTAAACAATGAGGCAAAGTGACAATAGTAATATTATTACACGTGTCCAATTCATACTGTTACAGTTTCAGATAGTGCTAAGTAACCAAATACATTAGAGAGACGCCCGAATAACGTTCAATTCGTATCAGATCGTCATTAGGATATCTTAATAATGTCCAGACGTCTACGACATCTTGGATTTTACGCGACTCCACGAGCCGCTATTTCCAAGCGTCTTTGTTATTTCATGCTTTTGCATTGTCAGCATTACCGCTAATTGACACGTTGACCATTGTCGTAGGTATCGAATTAATCGATATGATAGTCAATGTGTTACTGAGTATTGAGCGATAACTGTATTTACAATAGTTTTTAGCGATATTCGTTATCCTATTCCTGATACATTTCTCTATCCCGTGTATTTATATACGTATTCGCATTTCTAAGTAGCGTAGAATTCCGAAAGACTTCTTTCAGACAACCCCCAGATGCTTGAAAATCATCTTTTGGATTTTCGCGCTGTCTCGGATTCCCTCGCGGATTTGGCAGTTTTAACTAATTGAATGAATATATATCTTTGCTCGGGTAAGTACGTCGCGGGAACTGTATTCGGTCGACTGGTACCATCTTAAGTATCAGTGATTTGGGATTACAGGCCTTTTAAAGACCAACGCGAAATTCACCTACGGGAAACGTATGCGCGCATATACCTCGGACGCGAAGCGTAGACGTATTTGCTCTTAATGATCCTATATTTAGATAATACATCGTTATGACATAATTATTTGTCGTATTGATTACCTAGCTTTGTTTCTCATTCATTCGTTCACTCACACAATCTCTTTGTCTTTCTCTTTCTTTCTCTTTCTCGCGCGCGCTCTTACGTTTGTTCGCTCAATAAGGCGCACACTCGTTGAAGTAAAACTCCACCGAGGTCGGTATCAAAATGGTCTTGAAAGACGCGCCCGTCAGAATTATGTTGCGCTCGACATCGCTGTCGCCGCTCAGCTGGAAATCGAGGGCCGAAATACGATGAGACATGGATTTCAAGAGATATGATAATTCTGATAACGATTGCCATTGATTGACGGATGAGCTTAAGCTTTAACGGCCTTCATGAGGAGATCGGTGCTGAGGGACTTAGGCCTCTCAATGGGCAATCCTAGAGCACGGTCCCATACCAGAGAAGCGAGTACGCCTAACGCGCGAGATACTCCGAACAGGACCGTGTAGTAGTTCATCTCCTTCATACCATAGTACTGCAGTAACACGCCCGAATGCGCGTCTACGTTCGGCCATGGGTTCTTCACTTTGCCGGTTTCCAGAAGAACAGGCGGCACCACCTTGTACACTTGTGCTACCAGCTACGAAGAAGCGAAATTGGTTAATAATCAAGTGAAGAACAGTGCATATTTGATTTCGAATGAGAATTACCAATAATTAATCATTGAAAGGTTGATGACTAACAATCGTTAAAAGATCATCAACGTCGTCAAAAATTAATAAAAAAGTAACTCACCTTGAACAACGGATCGTCCGGCAGATGCTTGAGCGCGAACTCCCTCTGACACGTATACCTAGGATCGGTTTTCCTGAGAACGGCGTGTCCGTAACCGGGCACCACTTGGCCGCTCTTCAACGTGTTCCAGATGAACTCCTTGAGCTTGTCGTCACTAGGACTGTCGCCCACTTGGCTACGCAGCTTCTCCAGCCACACCAACACCTCCTGATTCGCCAAACCGTGCAAAGGTCCGGCTAAGCCGTTCATGCCGGCGGCGAAGGATAAGTAAGGATCCGACAAGGCGGAACCTACTAAGTGGGTGGTGTGTGCGGACACGTTGCCGCCTTCGTGATCCGAGTGTATGGTGAGGTACAGACGCATCAGCTCGATAAACTGTGGGGTGTCGTAACCAAGCATGTTGGCGAAGTTCCAGGACCAGTCCTTGCCGGCATCGACGGAGCCCAGGCCTTTGCCGTTCTTGTAGATGTTACGGTAGATGGTGGCCGCGACCACCGGTAACTTGGCGATCAAGTTCATCGAGTCCTCATACACGCTCTCCCAAAATTTGCTCTTGTGCACGCCTTTGCTGTACGCTCGCACGAACTCGCTCTCGCTGTTCAGCATGGTGATCGCAGCGGAGAACTGCGTCATCGGGTGCAGGTTCTTGGGGAAGTTGTTGAGCGCCTTCACCACGTGTTCGGGCAACGAGCTCCTGGACGCCCAATCCTGCGAGATGGCCTTCACCTGGGCCTCGGTCGGCACGTCGCCGGTGATCAGTAGCCAGAAAAGACCCTCTGGCAACGGCTCTGCGCCGCCGGACGCCTTCGGCAGCATCTTCTGGCACTCGGGGATAGACTTGCCGCGGAAGCGGATGCCCTCCTCCGGATCGAGCACCGAAGGTTCCCACACGAGACCTTTAATACCGCGCATACCGCCGTACATCTGCGGAAGAAGAGCAGTGTGTTAGAACGATTGAGTATGAAAAATCGAGTGCTGACAATTGATTCGATTGAATTTTCTTTGAACATAAAAAAATGTTCGCTTATCAACTACAAATTTTACGAGAAGTTTGTCTTCAAATATCTTTCGATAAGTGCCAATCTTTCGATAAGTTCCAATCTTTCAATTAGTAATGATATCACACAATAGTAAAAATCAACTTTGTAATTTTTTTAAGGATAGAAAAAGTAATCACATCGTTAGTGTTAATGAACTATGGTCAGATCAGTGATGATTAACTGCGGAGTACCGATGGAGTAACGAGCGAGATCTTCACGTGCGATGAATAAAATCGTCACACGCGAGACGACTCGTTCAATGACGATTAATCAATGCACTCATGTACGGTCGATAATTGCGGCATAAAAATACGCTATTTGTCGATGCAAAGAATCTGCATGTTCCGATAGGAATAGTCGCGTGGTTATCGTGATCATACAGTAGACACGCGGTCCAGCAATCACTCTGCAGTCCGGACCTTATCGTCAGAGTGGCTGAAAAAACAGTATTCCGTGTCTGTCTTTGTCTCGTCAGTTAACGATCGTCCATGGAATTCGTTGATCTTGTTGGCTTTATAAAATATCTCGTCTATTTATGTGGTTAATGATGACAATTATGGGGGATGTGTCTAATTTAAGTACTGCAGTAATAAACAAAATTATTATTGAGGAAAGGAGTAATATGTAATATTTTTAGAAAAATAAAACAATTAATATAATAATTTTAATTAATTCATATAATTTATATTATTATTATTTATAATTTTAATTATTAATTACAATTAATTTTATATAAAAAATAAATTTAGAATTCAAAGAAAAAAATATAACGCGACTGCTTCACAGTTACGAGTAAAAAGTCCTGCGGATTATCGTTACTTTTTAGGAAAAACACGATGATGGGGGAGGGGGAGCGCTTACCATATCTACTGTGACCTCGCCGACTTTTGTTGAGCCATGATTCTTACGGAAGGCTTTGACACGTTCCTGTTCCTGCGGGATCTTATCGGAGAGGATTTTCTTGAGATCCGTGGACGCATCGGTTAGCTGGCGCGTGAAGACCGCTGATGTTATTTTCTGCAAAAAAGGAAGAGATAAAATTTATAATCTTAACAAAGTCCCGAGATAGCTATATAATCCCAGATTAAATTCTATATAATTTATATTATTATATTTTCTTTGATCTTATCTGAGAAATTAGATTTTCTTTTTGGTTTTATCTGATAAATTGATCTTTTTAATAGAGGGGGATAGATGAGTTCCTCTCTCTCTCTCTCTCTTTCTCTCTCTCCCTCTCTCTCTCTCTCTCTAAAAGAATTTCTTGGTCTGTGTTTAAGTTATTTTTCAAGTTGCTGATTTATTTTCTTATCGTGTACTGTGATGAGAACTTGATGTACGTGACATATGCGCGTCGTGCAAAGAATCGTGACGGCGGAGAACACGTGTGCGTTACGTAAAAAGGATAAACCGTTAACAATCGTGCTGTCAATGCTGCACACGCAAGTGTCCATTGAGTTCTTACGATGATAAATTGCTGATTTCATAACGCTGAAATGATAGGACACACCGGATTTCTAAAAATGGACAGGCTATGTTGTTTCACACAGCCGCCGTGCAATTTACGAAATTGTCAAGTATAGCTTCTTCATTAAAATAACATTAATAACGACGTAATATAAGAGGACCGGAGATTTGCTGGATTGTCGTGAAATAAAAGACAGAGCGCGATAGCGAAATTATATGAGATAACGAAATTACGTTTTCTGCGCACAAGCTCGTAATCGTATGTGACGGTTCTTTGTGTGATGGCGCAAAAAGTCCGAAATCGTTCCTCATCTCGACACGCACGGCTCGCACTGCCGAGCATTACGAGTACTCGGATAACAGCGCACGAGGTCGCTCGAGGTCTCGCGTTTGGGGTCATTATTGGATACGTGCCGCTCGCGGAAACGCACCGGCAAGGATTAATCCCGCGGCCGCTTTATCCTCCTCACAGGATAATCGCTATCGTCTTTAATACGATAAAAGACTCTAATTTAGACACGCGAATTTTGCTCACGATCGTGGAGCAGCGGAGAGAACTTGAGAATAGTGGCTCTACGAGTTGTTCTAGGAGCAATTCGCGCGTCTGCAGTGACGTAGTGCACAATAATGATAACGGGATAAAAATTACACATACGTGATATACGACAGCGATGATATTAATAACGATAATTACACCGAAGGATAAAAGCGATAAAAATGATAGATCGAAGACAGTAAAGAACGACGACGTGAGAGGCTATAAATTTCGAGATTTCTCGACGAGGAAAGGTGAAGAACGGGCTTGCAATCGTCACGTAATCGAACTGCGGGAGCACGTGTACGAGCATTGACGGTGCTCGTGACTGCGATTCCGACACGTTCGCCAGATATCGAGAGCGACCCGATGATTCTTTTATTATTCTTTTCTAGGTCTCAACGAATCGGGAGTGTCGCGTGATGTATTTCTACGGAACGTTTTATCTGGATTACGTCGGATAGGATACAATCGGGACCTCTTCGCGGCACATTTATGCGCGAGATGAGAAGACGACTTCTAACCGTGTTTGACATTGATTAGAAAATGTCTTTTCATCTCGCTGCTTTCTATTTTCACACGCGATTCGTGATAGTATCGCGAATATTCGCGTGTGCATCCGATAACGCTAAGTTAATTAGGTCGAGGCGAAGTCCGGAAGACGGCGAAGATGACGTCGACAGATCGCGAAAGAGTTTCACCTCGAAGTGAGAAGATTTTAATAACTCACAGCACAAATTGGACGAGATAATTCTAATTAACAGCAGGAAAGAACTTTTAATTTGCATGAGACGGTGGTAAAATGGGAACTACGCCCGTGTCAATTTTCGTCGTCACGGGATTTCCCATCGATTTCCTCAACCCGCGGTTAAACAGACGACATTCTCATAGCATCAGGAAAGCGCCTCTACACAAATTGGACTTTACGCCTCCTCTCAACCGTTTATCTCTGACGTCATAAGACAGAAGTTAACTAAGCAGCTTATTAATTAACGATTGTCTGTCTCTTATGTCAGGTACTGAATGACTTATCAGAATCGTTACGTTACCGCAAGTCGACGACTTCGTCTCGAGAGCTTTGTCTTCGTACTAACAAATCAATAGTTACCGTATAATAATAAATAACTAATCACCGTATAATAATAAATAATTCATATAAATAATTCATGCACGTTACACGTGTATCTTTTCCGGAAGATACTTTCCGAAATCCTAAGTAAATACGGAAAACACGAAATTTATTTTTATTAGTGCTTAATTATTTTAATTATTTTTCCTAACGACACTTCCGACATAGATTATATTTGAAAAAATGGTGGACGAGTTTTAAGATACATACATATATAAAATAAACATCGACAAGCAGGAGGAGCAGTCTATTTGTTCAGATAAATACTCTCAATACAGAGAATACTTTCGAATGTAATTTTATGTGAAACGCGCAAATCATGATAAAATCCTTAGAAAGAAGAAGGAAAATAAGAATCGCGTTGGAATCCGAAAAAAATAAAGTATTTACAGATATGATCATAGCATTGTGCGTTTTATACATTCTCTAAGTTTCTTGAAGTGGAATCTCATTCAAAACGAGTGAAAAGTGACAGTATTTCCACTCAAAACAATAGTAAAAATACTGTCACATGAAATAGCGAGAATAAATATTCCGCTCAAGCTTAAAATAAATTCTAATCAAATGAGCGAATATTTCAATCGATTAGAGTGAATATGTTTGTGTGACAATAAAGTACATCATATTCGAGTGAAAGTGTTCACTCAACGATTCAAAGTAGAGAATTCGCTCATTATAAATCACTCCGATCCAGGTGACTCGGTAGCCATCTTCTGAGTGAAATTTCACTCCAAAAGATTTAGGGAGCATCTTTCAATTTGAAGGACACGGTTAAAAAATCGATCTTCGCGCAATGCTCTTCTTATCGTCTGCCCGATAGTGCGCCCGTCTACGCTATTTTTTACGTGAACGTGATAGCACGCGATTACACAGCCGTAGTGAGAACATAGGTCTTGCACTTGAATGCAATTCGCGGACGATCATGTGCCTTTTACAAAGTCCCGCTTTCGAGTGCTTGATCCATCGATCAATCGATCGCGCGACTCGCAAGCGGAGCTTCGAAACTCGCGGAGCTTTGGTCAGCGCGGAAAGAAGCGCTGGTAAACTTGGGAAGCGTGCACGTTGCGAATAGAAGAAAGGTTTTGCGAGAATGCATTTTACAGATTTATTTGACGAGATATAATTCTGAGAGTAAATATTATCTCGAAAGGGAAAAACACACGAAGAAAGTGAAGAAGTCTGCGCTTTCAATTTTGCAATCGGTCGCGATTAGCATGGCTAAACGAGAACATTGTTCACGGGAGAGACGCGAAATCCGGGAAGCAAGCCAGTGACGCTGCTAAAAATAAGAGGACTTTGACTTGTAAAATTCGCTACATTTAATCTGTACGGTGTGAGCATAATAAAACAATCGATGCCAAGGAAACTCTACTTTGACGCTTCCTCGTGCAAGCTCAATAAAATTCTGATAGAAAGATAATATTGAAAATTTAACGATGACTTAACAATAATGAAGATTTTATCACTCGTAATAATCCGCTGTTGCGTAAATGTATATGTGTGCACTTCAATCGTCACACTGAAGCACCAAAGTTACATCTTAAATTATTTAATCTTTCATCAACGAAAAACGAAGATTTCTCATACAATTAAAGACAGCGTACTTGAGTTCTTATTAAAGATATTGATACGATTCCGCGTTTTGTAATCGAAAAACAACACTTCTATCAATAATCCTGATTCAATCGAAGCATGACTCTTACATCTGACGGATCCGTTGAATGATAATTGGAAGGTCTCTAGTCTTCGAGGGTCAATCATGCTCGTGCCGCCAATTCGATTGACCCTTGAAGACATACGATTAACTTCATAAAATAGTGCCGACCGTAATGGCTTTGGGAAAGCAATAGCGTACTGAAAACTATTAAATATAGGCATAAGTACCTCGAAAATGTTATGTGCTAACTTTGCATTTGTAAAAAAATATTTAAAGAACTTATCTTCTATCGAGATCTGCCTACGTCTGAAATTATTTTATACTAGTTACAAAATTTACGTTTGACTTTTTATAAAAATGTTACTGTAATTATTTGAATGTTTTTTATATCGTGTATTGGATATAAATCGTCAGATTTATTATTTCTATAGCAATTTATATTACAATATCAATATAAGTCCAGTTTTACAAGAGACACTGTAAAATGCAATATAATCTTAATATAATTTTCCCTAAATTTTCTTGTGTAGATTTTGTCTTATTTGTTGTGTACACATTTGTGTTAAGGTGTAATTTTTTTCATCGGCGGCGGCAAAGAAATTCAGAACTCACACATCGACTCGCGTTCGACACGACAACTCCCCCCCCCCCCCCCCCCCCCCC